TAACTGCTGCCTCCAGGACTTGGGGACAGTCCCTGGAGAAAAGCTTTCCATGGGGCCATGGTCCTCTCTAACCCTAACTAGAGACCCCAGGCAGCTCACCTGAGTGCACCACAGGGGTGGAGAGTTGAAAAAGGGACAGTGAGCAGAGACAGGTAACCACATGTGGCAGTCTCTTAGAATGAAAAGAGGAGTCAAGAAACTACCAGGAGCTGAGTAACACCCAGGGGACACAAAGAGCTGTGTAACAACAGGACAGCTGTCTGCTCAACTGGAGTCCAACAGCATCTTCCATCAAGCAGACAGATGCTAAGAGCAAGCCCTGTTAATGGAGGGGAGCAATCCCAGACACAAATATTTGGACAGGCAGGATCTGGCACTGTGGATGCAGCTGTATTAAAATGGAAAAAATGTGTATGTTTTCATGGAATAAACAATGCAGAGACATGAACAGAGGCATGTGCCACCACCCAACTTGATGTGGCAGAAAACCCACTGCTCAGAGCTGGCTTATAGCCAGACTGAGGAGAACACACATGAAGAACATCAGTGACCACCACTAAGTCCCAGCCCTGGTCCAAGCAGATCCCTTTTCCCACCCAGCTGACCAAGTCCATGGCTTATTGTAACTCCCCCGGGAGCAAAGAAATGGAGCTCACAAACCCACATCTGCATCTGCATGAGAACAAGCACATCCCAAAGTGACTCAGATGCAAAGACAGTAAAAAAAAAATTGGAGCATCCTCTTAAATACATGGGAAGAGGAGGCAACTCCAAGTTGCACTGGAAAGGCTTTTCTCTCCTCTCCACCCCAAGTTTTGCTTACAAATAGATTAGCAGTCCTGGAAACAGTGTCCTGTGTTTATCCCTAAGGAATATCACAGGCCTGGGAGGACACTGGTACAGACTGGAAGGACACCGTGGGGATGGGAAGAGATCCTACTGCAATGGCCGAAAGGAGGGGAGAGTAAAGGAGGACCAAGGAGGCTGAGTCAAAGGGCTAGGAGGATGCTATAAGGCAACAGCTCATTTTGGGAGGTAACCACCCCCAGCTCACACTGCATCTCTTGAATTTTGTTCTTGGGTCCACACTGCAACTGCAGCACACCAGACACGGCTCATGCGTACACCATCTCACATCTTCACAGCCTCTTAATGCACACTGCTACTGCTTCAAGTAGATGTCACCCTGGAATACTTTCAGTGCAAAATGCAACGTAACTGAAATCAATGTCAGTAAATCCTTTTATATTGTCTACGCAGACAAAAAACCCACTATATGTGGGTTGGTTCCCCCCCCTCCCCGATATGAATCTATCATATCTAACCACTGCTTGGCTTCATGAGCCCTCTCAGCTTCAATTGCCTAGGTCACTACTTGGTACACCAACAAGCTCTACTCATGCATCTCTCTTTAAAGGGCAAATAAATTTGCCTACATCTCCCAGGTCCATTTCAGTAACAGATGTTTAAACTTAAAAAATAAAGTTACTGAGAAAATGAAGAGAGTTAAATTATAGATATGGTCTTGCTCCTCCACTCAAACCCATATAACATATTCCTGAAGTGCCTTTTAGTGTTCCACCAAAACCTCCACCACCATAGGTTTGGTGAGACTCGAGCACACAAGTCAGATTTGCAAAGCTACACCAAGACAGAGTCTCCCAGAGAAGCCACATGCTCCAGCCACAGACATGCGACCAATTCAGCACAGGAACATCACGGGTTTGCTCATATCCCAAGAAAACCACAGAATACAAAATAAACTTCTCCAAATACAAAATAAACTTCTCCAAATCAATGGTATTTCACTCCAAGTTGCTACGCATAGCCGTGTTCCCAGGAAGAAGGGTAGCACAGTGGGGAATAGGTCTTCATGCTGTCCTCCTTGCTGCTCTTCATCCCAGAGCAACATGTGTGGCCACACCAAATACTAGTATGCTTTAGCAGAGCCCAAAAACCCTTGTGCTGGCACCACAGGGATTACCTTCACATCCTGGCTGCTGAGCGGGTCCATAAGCTGCTCCTCCAGGACATGTAGAGACTCTGAGGCCAGCACAAGAAGGCGCTGCAGGATCTGGGGAAGAAAGCAAGCTGGAGAGTGAGACTTGGCAATTCTGGATGTAGCAAGGATCCCACTCACCCACAGGGCCGCTGGAGCTGGCTCCAGCACTGGGGGCAGGGAACTGTTCTAAGCCAGCAGCCACCATGGGGCAAGGACAGAGCCCAGCTCACCTGCGCTGAGGGTCTCTCTTTGGTCCACATGGAGCTCCACTGGTCTTTGGGGGTGGCGATGAACATGGCGGGGGGGGGAGAGCGAGCAGCCACAAATTTGTTCTTGATCTCTATGCAGTCAGCATCTGGAGAGGGGAGGCAAAGGGGTGAGATGGTCTGCCCCAACCACAGCCCTCTGGCCTCCTTGCCTATGCATCACAGTCCAAAAAAAGGCAGTACAACCGGCTTTATCCTCTCCCACCCTCTGATCCCACAAACCCCACGTGAACAGAGCTCTATCGCCTCGGGCTTGCTCTCCCTTCACACTTTCTTTGGCATTTGCCTGCAGGAAGTTTTGGTGACAGAGTGCAGAGGTAGATAGACTTTTGCTCTAAACCCATCCAGGCAGGCCTGGACATGACACAGGCTGGAAACTCATGCTATATGCTAACAAAACAGTTTGTACCCAAAGAGTTTTTTACCTTTCCCCTTCCCATACCCCTCAAAGAGGGGAATAATAGCTCTTTGGCCAAAACCAGTTCACATTTTAGTTCGTTTAAAAAAGCTGGAGCATAAAAAAAAAAAATCAGTTTCCAAAACTCAATTATCTCCCAAGCAGTTTCACCTTACTTTATAAATCAGCTTTAAAAGCTGGGTGTAGCTAACTCCCCTACCCCTCAACCATGCAAAGCCAAGACAATCCCATCCAAGACATCCCATGGTCTCTTCTGGCTCCTGGGGAAAGATGGCACAAATCTGAAAGACGGTCAACAGACTAAATACCGGGAAGAGGGGAGGACCACAGGTTTGCTTGGGTGCACCAACATGCTCCTTTGAAAACCAGGGACCTCTTCCAGCAAATTCTCAAGGCTTAGGAAGTAATAAAACCTAGAAGACTGCAGTCCTTTTCTCTTGTAGGTTTTGAAATCAAGGACTACAAATCATCCCCGTGATCTGAGTGGCTCAGTGAGGCTCTCAAAGCAGACATGCAGGAGGAGGCTTTGAAGCTTCCCGTTCAAGAACCCAACTGCTCTCCCAGCACAATGGGAGGTTTGGCCGCCAAGAGCCAGGGCGGGTTCCCAGAGCCCTCAAGCAAAAATGTTGGCTACAGAGGAGCAGGGGGCTTCAAAGACACCACCACAACAAGCACCACCCAGGCTCATCATAGATTTCAGCAAGACCAGAAGCAGCAGAGCATCACCTCTCAAAAGGCAGGCAGGGGGTTAAAAACCCCACGCCTGAGGCCAAGTTAAGCAGGGCAGGTGAGGCGAAAGGGAGTGGAAAATCATCTTGCACCTGGCAGAAGCTCTGACACCTCCATATATCCAAGACCCCTGGATCCAGGTGTTGACCAAGGAGGGCTCAAGACCCTCATGTCACAGCTCTCCCTCAGGCTGCCTGCTCACCTGTGAGACCAGTGTTGAGGTTGACTATCAGAGGGTTGTTTTTCCAGTCAAAGGTTGCCAGCAAGTCAAGGAAGCGCAGGAACCCAACCTGAGGAGAGCTGCAGGCAAGATAAAAACAGTTCAACACTGGCATTTGCTCCCCTGCAGCAAGAGGGGCTGGGCTTAGGGGTAATCTAGTGATGACCAGCCCACACACAGCCTGAGAAGGTATGTCTGTGGTGGGAAGTCCAGGACAAGCATGAGGTACTTCCCCTCCTCTGAATCCCTGGGGAAAGCAGAAAGGGCTGCTCTCATATCTGGTGCAGCTTTGAACGCCAGTCAGGTTCCCACTGTGCCTCATCTCCTCAACACAATACGTGTGTGAAGCCAGACAGCTGGGAAGATAGGGCTCCTGCTAGCAGGGTATTTTAGGAAACAGGAAAGCATTCTAGGTATCAGACTGTTACTCCTGCTGCTTTAGAGAAGGAAACTGGACCCCAAGTGCATGACAAAGTAACCTTTTGGCTCCACAAGGAGCAAAACCACAGCCTTTAATTTAAATTCACTCCCTCTGGGCCATATCCCATCCACCTGCAAGGGGCCAGCAAGCAACTGGCTCCATGGGGTTATTTACCAACATGCTATTCCATTCAGCTTCCAGCAGCTGACCTCTTCCCCTTCCCTTGGGACTCCTCTCCAGGAGGAAGGGAGGCTGCAGTCGCAGCACCCTTCCCAGGGAACAGGGTCATTAGGGGCAGTCAACATGGCT